GGGCTGGCCATGTGATTTGCCTTGGCCAACAGAATGCTAGAGTCTGGGCTGGACATGCGATTTGCCTTGGCCAACATAATGTTGCAGAAGTGACGTCAGGCCAGTTCTGCAGCTGGGTCTTAGCGAGCTTTCACTTTCTCTTGCAGAACCCTGCAGGCTCCCATGCAAAGAAGCCCAGGCTAGCCTGCTGGGGGACACAAGACCAGGGTCTAGTCACCTCCATCACCCCTGCCAACAACTAGTCAACCACAGCACTTGCAAGTGAGGCTATCCTGGAGCAGCGAGCTCTACCCAACCCACCAGCTTGCATGAGAAGGCCCAGCTGGGATTACACAAGCCTCGCTCAAATCAGTAAAACCACCCAGCTGACCTCTGAGCCAAAGAAAAAAACAATTATTGTTATATGCTCTTGAGCTTACATTGCTGTTTGTTATGCAGCATTTACTGTGCTGATACATAACTGATGCATCCACTGAAGAGATTTTTCTCCCACGCATGGCACTGGGCATCACAGATCGCCAATTCAGGTCCCTCGTGGAAACTGTCACCCAACCAAAGGAATCAGAATAGCAGGATCTCTGAGACAGGTCAAAGCACAAATCCTAAGGTTGTCTCTGATGGAGCACGTGGGAAGTGACCCCCCCAGCTGACCACGTGACCTGCCATCACAGGTGAGGCAGAAGAGCCATGCCACAGGCACTTCCAGAAAATCTCACAGTCTGGCAAAGACCTTGCCCAGAATGCTGAATTCCATCTGGGGAATAAAGCCAGACACATCACTCTTTTGGACAAGCAATTTTTTTTTTGCATAATTCACAATTCTTGGCATATTCTCCCCTTCTCTATGCACAGCCTTCCTTTTATGTTACTCATGTATGTACCAGACACTCTGAGGTGACTTCCCTGAAAAGTGAACGTCAAAGAGACCTCTGGCTCCCTACCCTTAAATATTCTACTTGTTATAAATTCCCCGAGGAGTCTTCTTAGCTCCAAATATCAAGGGAATTGGAAGGGGGAGTAAGGAGGAAGAAAACACGTTCTCAGAGCAGTTCTTTGTACTTGAGATTCTTTGGTTTGTATTAAAATATTCTCATCTTCCCATAATTTATGGGCACTCCTGGAACTAAGAGAGTTCGTTTTGTCCCTGATCCTCCATTCTAGAAATAAAACTAACTGTTAGTGTCAGAGTGAGTATCTCTGGGAGGGAGGGAGAATGGGACGGAAACTTTCAGAGCATCCAATTTGAGTGTTCAGGGAAAGACTCTGCAGACTCATTTCCTGGCCTCACTTGCCAGGGACTGAGACCCAGCACCAGGCACCTCCCCATCCATGATCTCATTTGATTTTCAGAACAGTCCTGCCAGGGTAATATTCTAGTCATCATCATGTTCCTTTCTGAGAAGAGGAAAGTGAGGGTCCTAGGGATAAGATGCCTTCTTCAGAAAGCAGAGCTGGCTTAACATGGGTCTAGAATTTAAATCCAGGTGCAGATGACACTACAATGCTCTTACCAGCCAAGCATCCAGAGAAGGCGTGATCAGGGAAGGCTACCTAGAAGAGGCAGGACTTAACCTGAGTCTCAGAGCTCAAGAGTCCCAGCTAGCTGTACTTTCTAGGGTAAGAGGTACAGTCTATCTTATCCACTCAGTTCTCTATAAGACCCTGAAGGGGACAAAATCCCTGCTGCATGGACCCTTTTAAAAATGCATGGATCCCATTTTTTCTTACATAAAAATCTCTGCTGCATTCTCCTGTGCCAGCTGAGTAAAATTTACTGTCTAGGGTGTGCCATTCAAGGATCTTGTTAATCTGCCTCATTCTACCTTTTTAGCTTTCCATCCCACGACGACCCCTACCGCCCACTCATACACACACAGATTTACCTTTTCAGATATCCCACATTAGTCAAATAACACTTCACCTCTAATACATCATTTCTCTCCTACATCATTCATGCTATTCCCACTGCCTACAATGCCCATCTCTGCCTAATAAACTCCTACTCAACCCTCAGAGCCCAAGTCAAATGGCCCTTCAGCTGGGATGCTTCCCCGTCACCCCTTCATTGACATAGTTTGTTGTACACATATCCGGTCAACTAGCACAGCTCCAATTGACCCATGGCACCATGTTTGTCATGGAGACGGTGAACCTTGAAGATGGGAGCCCAAGTTTTATTTATCTTTGAATCTTAGCATAGGGCCTGGTCTTTTGCCCAGAGATCAGTCATTATAAATGTTTGTTGGATGATTAAATGAATGAGTGAATGAATGGATACATTTATTGCAGACTTTCCGAAGATGTCCATTGGATGAACCTAAGCCTCTGTGACATCTCAGTGCTCAATAGGCACCTTAGATGGAGGGCACAGAAACTCACACTTCTCACTTGACACCGCTTGTTTTCAGGGGGAGGATTATAAACAGACAAACTGAAACAAGGCCCGGCAGGTGGTCCAACCCCTCAATGGCCCCACTGAGGAAACTAGACCTGTGGCATCTCTGAGCAGCTCTCTGCGTCTGCCTCTTTCTCTCACTTGTTCCAAGCCCCAGATAAATCTTTTTTTGGCAGGTGGCCCATCTCAGCTAATATGAGGAGGAATTGTGGGTTGTCAGACTCAGGGCCCAGCTGAGGAGCTGAGGCTGGTGACAGTCAGGGAATGTCTGACCAATGGCAGTCTGGGTCAGGCAAGATGCACGCATCTTTCTTCTGAGATGTCCAGGGCTGGGGAGTCTTGTGGAAATAAGATGCTTGTGCCTGGGAGGCCTCAGTTCAGTCCCAATTTTGTCACTCCTTCCTTGGGGAGCACAGTTAAGCCTCCTGATCTCTCTGGGCCTCGGCTTTTCCACCCACAAAATGGGGTGAATGAGGAACAAGATGCTGCGTGGTAGCCTCTATCTCATAACGAGGGGAGTCTAGAGACCGTTGTCAGACGCAAGGAAACTGTGGCCCAGAGAGGTGAGGTGACTTGCTCAAGGCCGCACAGCCCAGAAGTGCAAAGGCAGAGATCTGTTCCAGGTCCTGCAATTCCAGGGCACACCAATTCCCAAGCTGCATCCCAGCTGGAGGAACATGGCACAGACCTACGAATCTCGGCATTTACAAAGCCACTGGCCCCTGGGGACCACAGCCACCTCGGGAAGCCACAGCAGGCCCATTCATTTTTTTTTTTTTTTTGGCATATTTAATGTATGTATTTGTATGTGTGTTTTTTCATTTCTTTAAAAACTTTTCAGTTTTATGTATTTTTAAAATCACTTCATTGAGACACGACTGACACATAAAAACTGGCATCTATGTAATTTTACAACTAGATTCGTTTGGGAATAAGAATACACTGGTGAAGCCGTCACCACCATCCAGGCCTTATGTATGCTCATCATCTCCCGAAATTCCCTCCTGTGTCATTTACATTAGCAAGAGCAGTTAACTTACGATCTACCCTCTGAGCAAATTTTAAGTATACAATACAATTTGTTCGCTATAGCCACTCTGCTGTAGTATCTAGCTAGTTCCTGTCTGTAGGCACTCTGCTGTATAATAGGTCTCCAGATAAGAGATTAATAACCAGAATAAATAAGAAATTCATACAACTCAGTAGCAAACAGGGACAAATAACCCAATTATTAAATAGGCAAAAAACCTGAAACAGACCTTTCTTCTGAGACAACATACAAATGGCCATCTACTTTCTTTGAGACGGAATTTCACTCTTGTTCACCAGGCTGGAGTGCAATGGTGCTATCTCAGCTGACTGCAGCCTCCGCCTCCCGTGTTCAAGAGATCCTCCCGTCTCAGCCTCCCGAGCATCTGGGATTACAGACACCTGCCACCATGCCCACCTGATTTTTTTTTTTTTCGTATTTTTAGTAGAGACAGTGTTTTGCCATGTTGGCCAGGCTGGTCTCAAACTCCTGACCTCAGGTGATCCGCCTGCCTCGACCTCCCAGTTGGGATTATAGGCATGAGCCACTGCGCCAGGCTTGGCCATCTACTTTCAACAGGAAGACTCCAGGCAGCCTCTTCCTGTGGCTTTGAGCTCAGGGGAGTAAATAGAAAGAGCCCGGATTAGGGATGGAAGTTAACCACTGACCAGGCTTAGCGGTTAAGAATTGCAACGTGGCATCAGGGGCCCCGGAGATGATACACTGGCTCTGACATGTTACACACAATATGATTCGAGGCAGTATTTCCCATCTCTGAGCCTCAGTTGTCTCAACTGCAAAATACGGGGGTGGTAATATTTCCTTCCAAGGGCTGGTGTGATCCTTAATGAGACAGGTCCTGGACCACAGCCCAGAGGTGATTCTGACACGTAAGAAGCAATGTGCTATTACAATATTACATCTTAGCTAGTGATACAGCTATAAGGTATCATAAAGAAGAAAAGGAGAAAGGAAGGAAGAGAGAATGTGAGAAACACTCTTTTGCTTTACCTTCTGAGCACATGTCCTCATTTATAGAGCTGCACTGTCCGATACTGTAGCTGCAAGCTACAATAGCTACTGAGCGCCCGAAAGGTAGCTCATCGGAATGGGGCTGTGCTGTAAGGTCAAGTGTAAACTATCCTTAGAATGAAAAAAAAAGTAAAACATCTCATTCATCATCGTTCCTGTTGATTACATATTGAAATGATAATTTCGATGTATTGGTTACATTAAATACATCATTAAAATTCATGTCACCTATTACTTGTCAAGCTTTCTTAATGAAGCTGCTAGAATTTTTTTTTAATTTTATATAGAGAGAGAGTACGAGTGCCGATTTCTTATGTACGTATATTGCATAGTGGTGATGTCTGGGCTTTTAGTGTACCCGTCACCCAAATGGTCAACATTAAATAGAAAATTTAATTAACAAAAGAATTAACAACAAAAATAGAAAAGTTTAAATTACGGATGTGGCTTTCATTACATTTGTATGGGACAGCATTGCGCTAGAAAACTAAAAAAATACATGTCTACCTTTTGGAGCTCGGATTCTGAGTTCAGCCACTTTTTGGCTGTGTGAGCTAAGAAGAGATTCTTGCCCTCGCTGAGCCTTAGTGTTCCCTATCTGTAAAGCGGAGATCATTCCTTGAGAAGACGTAATGAGAGCCAGATCACAACATTTGCATCATATAGATCATATAGTACATATTTGATATACACGAGCCTCTGTTTTTCATGGCCAGTTACCTGCTGCGTCCTGGGGCAACTCCTGCGCCAGCTGAAGGCTCAGAAGGGATTGCCTGGCTGAGGTGTTCAAGCTCCTCTACCTGGGATCTCCACGGGACACAAGCCTCAGGCAGGACCTCACACAGATCCCTAGAACTGTGGCTGCAGCCTCTCAGACTGGTTCCTGGAGGCACTCTCAGACGGTCAATTGCAAAATACAAATCAAGCTTCTTCTCAACCCTATGTGTGCGCCCTGACTGGACCCCCAGCTTTTGACGACTCCCTGTGTCTCCCGCCCAGTGTTCACACCTTTATCATAAAGCTACAGAAATAAGAAGGCAGCAGGAGAGGAGTGAGAGAAAACCCTAGGCCTGCCCTTCCCTCCCTGGTTTCCACTCCTGTCTTTCTGCAGGAGGGCTCAGAACAGGTAAGGACACCCTGCTGGGAGAAGTTTCCCTTCCCCATCCTAGCCTGGTTTTCAAGGCTGCCCTCTCTGGCTGGCGAGAAGCCAGGCATTTAATTGAATAGAACCATACAAGGTGGCTGCTATCTTTGCATGCCTGAGAGCTGAGGACACCTGCTGTCCATCCTGCCAGGGAGATGAGGCCACTGAATGTTCCCAGGCAGGACGGAGGTTTGCGACTGTCTAGTGGACAGATTTTCCTACACTTTCAAATAGGAGGCAGAAGGGTAGGGAAACTGTGACAGAGCCCCAATTACTCCCTATCTCTAGGTTCCCACTGAAAACATCTCCACCTCCTTCCTCCTAACCTAGATCAAGTTGTACGGTCCTGGTTCCAGCCCTTCACCCAACTCACTGTGTGCCCTGTGTCATCCTGAGAGAGATGTTTTTCCAGTTCTTCTCTCTGGGATTCTGTAATGTTTAAAAAACACTTCATGGTACTTGAGACAGAATGAGGAGTTTGAGTGAGGCACGCACTAACGTTTACCCGCTGTTAATTTTGTGTAGGTGGCTACATACACCTCCCCAAGCCTCAGTGTTCCCATCTAAGAGATGGGTACGTTAACAGTATCTTCCTTACAAGGTGATTTAAATGTAAGTGTTTTTCTGTTTGTTTGTTGTTGTTGTTTTGGTGTGGAGGGGGATGGAGTCTCGCTCTGTTGCCCAGGCTGGAGTGCAATGGCGCGATTTCAGCTCACTGCAACCTCTGCTTCCTGGTTTCAAGTGAGTCTCCTACCTCAGCCTCCTGAGTAGCTGGGATGACAGGCATGCACCACCACACCTGGCTAATTTTTTTGTATTTTTTAGTGACTACACAGTAGTCACTATGTAGACCAGGCTGGTCTCAAACTCCTGACCTTAGGTGATCCACCCACTTCAGCCTCCCAAAGTGCTGGGATTACAGGCATGAGCCACCACGCCTGGCCAAATGATATTTTTTACTAAGGTGCTAAGCGCAGTGTCTGACACTCATCAAATGTTCATTAAATGGTTATTGTCAGTGGTATGCTAGTAAAACGGCTCTCAGGAGTGGGAAGGAGTGCTGATTTGTAGCACTTGCCAATTTCTGTGGTGTAAGTACTTTCACTCTAACTTATTTCAAGCCAATAGCATAACTTGCTTCCAAAACTTCTGAATATTTAACAACGGGCCAGTAGTCAGCTCGGCAATGCAAGGCCAGTTATTATTGTTGCTAATATTGATGCTACTAACCCAGCATCTTCCTGTGTTTGTTACTTTTTGTTTTTCCCTTATGTGGCAAAATTACATCTGAGTTCACTTCAACATTCGATTTTGCAAATTGAAACTAGTTTGAAAGCCATCAAAGCAAATGATCGGGTAAGATCTCTTCCAGGTCGGCTGGGTACAGTGGCTTATGCCTGTAATCCCAGCACTTTGGGAGGCCACCGTGGGCGGATCATGAGGTCAAGAGATTGAGCATCCTGACCAACATGGTGAAACCCTGTCTCTACTAAAAACACAAAAATTAGCTGGGCGTGGTGGCGTGTGCCTGTAGTCCCAGCAGCTACTCAGGAAGCTGAGGCAGGAGAATTGCTTGAACCCGGGATGAGGAGGTTGCGGTGAGCCGAGATCGTGCCACTGCACTCCAGCCTAGCGCCTGGCAACAGAGCAAGACTCTGTCTCAAAAAAAAAAAAAAAAAAAAAAAAAAAGATCTCTTCCAGGTCTAAAGAACATCCCAGCAGTTCTATACTCAAGCGCTCCCCTCTTAGAGACAATGCCCTAGACTCCCTGCCAGGCACAGAACCCTGCCCCATGCCCTTTTCCCTCATAGCCCTACACTGGACAAGTCAGAAAATCCACCCCAAAAGAGGGGCACTAAAGGATTAAGAAACAGAATTTTTCCCAGATGGATTCTAGCTGTGTGGGCTCAGACAAGTAGTCCAGCCTCTCTGAGCTTGTTTCCTCAACTGGCTCAGAGACCTGTTGTGAGGGGTTAATGAGAAAATTTATATAAAATGCCCATCACCAAGTAATGCCCAGTAAAAATATCTATTGTTTAAAATATTACTATTAATACAACCACCAAGTCTGGGGCCCTTGTTCCTCTGTGGAGGGTCTGTGGGGGGCCCCAGGCCTCCTATAGGTTCTGCAAATAGCAGCACAGAGCTGGACCCAGGATCGGAGCCCCCCCCATCTGCTACTCCCCCCACCCCCAGTTGTTTCACTTCCACCCTCATTGTTCCAGGACTAATTTATTTATTTCCTTCTGAATCCTCAAAGTCTATCAAGCTGTGGAGTGGTTGGATGGATTTTTTAATTAATTGAAGCAGAATCGATGAAAAAGTGATTGTTTTGGCTCTGGCTGGGTGGGGAGCTCAGAGTGGGAAATAAATGGATGGCTTCCTCGGGGGAGGGGCTGCCTTATCGAGCCGTGTACTGAGACCAGGAAGGCTTAGCGCACGCCCTGGGCAGCAGGATGGAGAAATGAAAAGCAACCAGCACACTCCCACTCCTCGCGTCCAAGAGATCACAGTTCAGGCCACCCCACCCCTCTTAGCAGCTGTGTGGCGCTGGACCAGTCCACGTTGGTGCCTCTCTGAGTCTCTGTTGTCTTGGGGGATTGCTGTGAGGATTAAACTCTGATACATGCTACAAGATGAATGAATCTTGAAGACATCGTGCTAAGGGAAAGGTGCCAGACACCAAAGCACAAATACTGATGACTCCACCTATAGGCAGTACCTAGGACAGGCAAATTCAGAAAGTGGAATAGAACAGCGATCCCTAACCGTTTTGGCACCTTTTTGTTTCACGGAAGACCATTTTCCACGTGGGCGGGGTGGGGGTACAGAAAGCTTTCAGGATGAACCTGTTCCACCTCAGATCATCAGGCATTAGGTTCTCATAAAAAATATTCAACCTAGTTCCCTCACATGCACAATTCACAATAGGGCTGGTGCTCCTATGAGAGGCAAATGCCACCACTGATCAGAGAGCAGGCAGAGTTGAGGCAGTAACGCTCACTAACTGCCACTCATCTCCCGCTTGCAGCCCAGTTCCTAGCAGGCCACCAACCAGTGCCCGTCCTTGGCCTGGGGGTTGGGGACCTCTGGAATTGAGGGCACCAGAAGCTATGGACTTACCATTTTGAAAGGGACAGAGTTTCTGTTTGGGACAATTAAATATTCTGGAAATGGATAGTGGTGATGTTTGCATGACATTTTGCATGTCCCTAATGCCATCCAACTGCATGCCTAAAAATGGTCGAAATGATACATTTTATGTTGCGTATATTTTACCACAACAAAAAAGTAAATAAATAAGGTATGCTATGCGCTTAGCACTGCCTGGCTCCTAGTAGATGCTCACTAGATATACATATATTATTATCATTGTTATTACTATTATTTTTTAAATTACTGGGGTGAAGTATCTCAGATGTGATAGACTACAAACTATGACCAAAAATTATCATCATCGTATATGCAATCCTCTTCGCAATGTGACTTTGTGACTCCTTTCATCAAAAGGTAGGTTCTCAGCACTTCCATTACTGGGTGTCTATCCAAAGGAAAATAGACCATCATACCAAAAAGACTTGTATGCTCATTGCTGTAATATTCATAATAGCAAAGGCATCAAATCAACCCACATGCCCATCGACAGTGGACTGGATAGAAAAACACGTAGCACATATACACCATGGAATACTACGCAGCCATAAAAAAAATGAAATCATGTACTTTGCAGCAACACGATGCAGCTGGAGGCCATTATTCGAAGCTAAACAACGGGTACTCATGGGCTAAAGATGGCAACAATAGACATTAGGGACTACTAGGGGGAAGGAGAGAAGGGGAGGGGACAAGGGCAAAAGAACTACCTATTGGGCACTATGCTCACTCCCTGGGTGCAATATACTCCTGTAACAAACCTGCACATGTGCTCCCTCTATCTAAAATAAAAGCTAAAAGACAGAACTGTGGGAAGACAGGAAACAGGTCTGAAGTTCATACTCTCAGGATATGCATGGGAAAACTGAGGGTCTCAGAGAGGAAGTGTCAGAGACTGAGTTTAAGGCAGAGTTGGGGGCCCAGGTATCCCAAGTAAGAATCCATTCTTCTTCCTAATTTTTGGGATATTTTGCCTTTATTCACAAAAAGCAAAGTAGTAAAGTAGATGCCATGTTTTCCATGTTAATGAAGAGGAAGCTGAGCTCAGAGAAGGTGAACTGACTTCCCCAAGGTCACACAGCCAGGAAGAGGCAGAGCCCCTTGAATGTGGGCTTGGCCAGTGACTCGCTTTGGCCAGTGTTCCTGTTGGCTGCTGTTGGCTAAAAACAACACAAATGTATTCTTATTTCTGAAGCTCAGAAGTTCAAAATGAGTCAAGGACTAAAGTCAAGGTGTCAGCAGAGTTCTCCTCCTGGAGGTTCTAGGGTAAGGATCTGTTTCCTTGCCTTTTTCAGCTTGTGGGAGCTACCTGTATTCCTTGGCTTGTGGCCTCTTTTTCCATCTTCAAAGCCCATGGTTCTAGTCTCTGCTTCCATCATCACATCACCTTCTCTTCTGTAGTATGCCTCTGCCTGCTTCTTATACAGACACTTGTTATAATATCAACGGGCCCACCACAGTTTAGGATATTCTCCCCATTTTAAGATTTTTAAACACATTTTCAAAGTGGCTTTTGCCATCAAAGGTAACACATTCACAGGTTCCAAGGATTAGGACGTGGACATTTGCAGAGTGTAGGATGGGAGTGCATTATTCAGGCCATGACAATCAATGGATTTTAACCAATGTGACAGAGGGAGAAGCTCAAGAGGTCTTTGCCAAAGAACCTGCCTTCTTTTTCTGGGCTTGGAACCCTTCCACCACCAAGAGTGCAAGCCCATGCTAGCCTACTGGATAATGAGAGACATGTAGCTCAGTCACCCCTGTAATCTCAGTCAACAGCCAGTCAACCCCAGTGGTGGAACCACACACTGACCAGCAGCTGATGGGCCAACTCTTGTGTGAGCCCAGCCAGGACCAGCAGAAGAACCTCCCAACTGAGCCCAGCTCAACTTGACAGACCACAGATTCCCAAGTAAAAGAAGTTGTTCTTGGTTTAAGCCATGGAGGAGTTTCGTGTGGTCTGTTACACAGCAAAAACTAACTGAATCACCAGAGGACCCCTGAGAAGCGGAGGGAAGGTAACATTTATTAAACACCAACTGTAATACGTGGCACATTTCTCATGTGATCTCACTGAACACTCACAGATTCCTCACAGGAAGGGATTAATTGCACCCATACTATGGGTGAGAAAAACTGAGGCTCAGAGAGGGTCTTAAGCAATTAGCTTAAGACCACCTGGCTAGGAGTTTGCAGAACCAGGTGCCTGACTCCAGGTCTGCCTGACTCCAGAGCCATGAGCCTTCCAAGAGTCCCATCCTGCTCTATAATCA